GTTGTTTGCATCGTACATATATTTGTATTACTCACCATCCAAATATGATCGATTGATTGATTCCGTTTCGAATAAATTTCTTTTTCTTTTTTCTTGTTTATTTCGAATTCGAATTCTTCGTTCGATTCGATTCATATTATTATTATTTTAGTTCTTTTCCATGGAATTCTGCAAAAAAAACCGGAAAATAATAACCGAAAAAACAACTTTCGAATATATTTTGATGGCTGCTGCTGCTGCTCGTTTATTTACTGACGTTATTTGTGGAATTTTTTTTTGTTTAATCCGGAATATTCGAATGTTGTTGTTTTTTTTCGATTTGCGCATGGTCACATTCTATCATTACGGTTTGTTTTTGGGATAATTTTTTTGAAATTTTCCAATTTTATTAATGATAATCATGATTATCATCAACAGCGCCGACGACGATCACCATCAACGATCATCAAGGATTTTGTAGCCACGAAAAAGACCATCTTTTTTACAAACGGGTTAAAACAGGAAAAGAATTGATATTCTCTGTATTCTATTTCTATTTTCACTTAGCCAAATTCAATCGAGTCGCCGATGCCGCCGACAATCTATTTCCACCCAATCCATCATTATCTCGGTCACAACAGAATAAAAAAAGATAATATATGAAGCTGTCGTCGACAACCAAAAAAAAAAAAAACATTCGATATTAATTTATGTTTCATTTTAACCCCGTTCACTACTAAATATCTTTTCTTCGCTGTTCTTAATTCTCCATTTTTTTTTCTCGTTGTTCATCTTCTTTTTTTTCTCTGTTCTTTAAAATCATTTCGTTTGTCATTTTGATTCAAATTCATCTCGCCATCATCGTCATCCGAAACAAAAAAAAGGCTTTTAAATCAAATTAAAATTGATCACAAATTAGATTAGTGATCCAACGAGCAAAAAAAAAACGAAACGAGAAAAACGCAACACACACACGAACAAACGAACCAGTAGAGAATCAAAGTCACCAAAGGGCTCTCATTTCGGGTTTTCGATTCTGTTACAAATTCTATGCTCAGTGCTCGTAAACGGATTTTCTTTTACTTTTTTCACCAGAAAGCTTTTTTTTCCACCAACTGCAGTTTTTTTTCCAACTTAATTCTACTTTATCTTCTTGTTCATCATTTTCTTATCAGTGTTTCGTTTTTTACCGATAACCGAATGAATGAAAACTAAAACTTTTAAAATGATGAATAAAAAGACGAAACGAAACCAAATGAAATGAAATTAATTTAATTCATTTATCCTGAAACATGTGACCTTTTTTTTCTTTCACTTTTACTTACTTTCTGTTTTTCAAAAATTAATTTTTTGTTGTTGTTTGAAAATTGAAAAAATAAAATTGAGAAATTTCCCATGGAAAAGAAAAACAATTTTTCGGGAAATTTTTTTCTTTTTCCGAAAAAATTTCTCATTGAAGAATTTAAATCAATTTTTCTTTTCCGACTTTTACTTCCCCCCCCACAACCACCTCTACTCTCTCATCAAACGATGACAGTCCGCAAAAAAAAATTCTCTCCGAGAAAATTGGATTTTTTTTGTGTGGAATGCAAATTGGCGACCGTTGGACAATATTCTGACCAAAACAAAAAACCACTCCAGCCATGAATAACAACAAAAAAATCTGATGGCTGTCATTGTTTGGCCAAAACAAAAAAAAAATCTGTAACAACCTTGATGATGAAATTCTGTTGAAACATTACAAACATTACATCATCATCATCAATCCTTTTTTTTCCAGACTAGAAAATGAAAATTGGAAAATGTAAATTCATTCATTGCATGATGATAATTATAATTAAGAATTTTTTTTCTGGGTTTTCGTTTGTTTTCATTAAGTTTTTTGTTTTTTGTTTTCCAATTCCAAATTCCAATGAGAAAAATGAATCTTATAACCAATTTTTTTTTTCATTATCTTTTAAGCTTTTTTTTGGGAAGGGGAAAAAATTATTATTATTATTTCCATCATCATCATCGACAAAATCCATAGGTAAATATTCATTATTGTTTTTCTTTTAATTTACCTGAAATATTCAATTTTCTCATTTCCTCAAGAATGGAATAAATTCCTCGAGAGAAAGAGAGAGAGAGAGAGAGAGAAAAAAAAACCAACAGAAGAAAATGTTCAAAGACCCAAATCTTCTTCTGGATCTTTTTTTGAATCGAACCGAACACAAAAAAATCGAACGAAATAATGAACAAAATAAAAAATAGTATCAATATTCATTCAATGATTATTATCATCTTTCCTTAACAAGGTGAAATAATACCACACATGATAAAATATAAATGATATAAATGTTTTTGTGGAACAAAATTCTGGAACAAAAAAAACAGAAAAGAAAAGAAAAGAAAAGAAAAAAAACATTAAACACGCTAGATTAAATATCTTATTAATGAAGAAAAGAAAGAAAATGAAATGAAATAAATTTCTTTTCTTTTCTTCTTTTTTACTACTTTACTTACGGTATTTTTCATTCATTCATTCATTCTTTTTGGCCAACGAAAAAAAAACTGAAACTGTGGAAAAACTGTGAAAACAAAAAAAAAAAAAAAATGAAAATCGAAATGAAAAGAAATG